GACAGAGACTGTCCCGCATATGGTGGTGGGGTCCTTGGGGTGCTGGGCAGAGGGAGCCCCGGGGTGGGGAGGGTCCCCTCCACAGACAGGGATCCTGTAGGGTGCAGCAGTGGTCCCTGTAGGGTTTTCGGGGGGGGGGGTCCCTGGAGGAGCAGGGACCCCATAGAAAAAAGTATGGGGGTCCCTCAGGTTCTGGTGGGCAAAGGCCCCCTCGTAGGTGGATGGGGGGTCCACAGGGTGCTGGAGAGCCAGGGATCCCCCAACTTTGGGTGACAGCAGGGTCCCCAAGCTGCGGGCAGCTGTGTCCCCCCCAAACCTGGGCTGCCATCACCCCCTTCTCCAGCCACACCCCCAGGTTTTGGGGACCTTTTCCAGGGCGGGGGGCTCCCCAACCTCTCGCCCTGCTGTGGCTTCAAGGGCTTTTCCTGTGCAAGAACTGCAACGGCGTCCGTCCATCTCCATACCTGGGGAAAGATAATAGTAATATTATCTTCACTTCATCTTAAAGCTCATTTATTTTATAAAAAAACCCACGATGTAAAACAAGGCAAGGTTATGTCTAAAATAATAGACACGGACCGAGGGCTTTACGAGATGTTTCTAATTAACCCACAGAACCACAACAAATCTTTCCACACGCTTTATTAAAGGAAGATATTGCTGAGACGCCGTCAATAAAACCGCCTCAACAGCTCACATAACAATCCAGGGGTGATTAGATGCCCAAAAATTGCATATTCTGTTCTTATTTCTCCCGACAGTTGGAAAGTCTCACAGGCTGCCCGGTTTTTCAGTGCCTGCTCTCCGTACCCCTGCTCTTCGTAACTTCGCACAACGCGGCAGGGGCACCGGGATGTTTTACCCAGCCCATTTAATAACCCGAGGTGCTGTGTAAAGTATAAAACCCGCTTGAAATGCCAAAAAAAAAAGAAAGATTTTTCCAAACGATCAAGGATGTTGAGGAGGAATAAAGTACTGAGGAGAGCAGCATTAACGGATTGGTGTGGAGCGGGGCTTTAGGAAACTAGGAAGTGTTTTTTCTGGGGATGAGGCCGTTGGCCAGGTCCCAGCGCACCTCCCAGCGCAGGGCAGCTCTCTTTTTTTCGGTTGGCACGGTGTAATCGTTGGGGACGTAGAGGTGCTGCGGCTTGCTGGGGAGCTCGGGTCTGCAGAGCATCTGCTCCCGAATACCCCAGCGCAGTTCTTGCCGTTGATCCTCCCCCGGGATTCGGAATTTTTCCCATTCTCGTTTATATTCAAAATATTTGGCCACCCGGTCGGTTTTTCCCCGGTTACGGCCCAGCGGCTCAAACCGTGGAGGAATGAAGGACTTGGGTTGTCCCGCTGCAGCGCTGTACTGAGACACGGGAGAGCTCCGGCTCCCGAAATCCCCAAGGAGAAAGGTGGGGCTGTCCCCACGGGACCACCGGTAAGGGGATTCGTCAAGGGAGCTGCTGCTCGTCTCGATTTCCCCCTCGGAGATGCTGTCCTCTGGACCGGTCCTTAACTGAAGCATTTTCTGCCTCAGGTCCCAAACCTCGGCATCGCTCTCCAGCTCGCTGGTCGCTGACTCGTCAGAGACCTCTACTCCTCCGTCAGGTCTGCGCCTCAGCACCTTCCTTTTCATCAGCAACCTCCTGGTTCCCCTCCGATCCTTGGAAAATGTAGGAAGGGTTGGTCGTACCCCAAAAAAGAGGGAGGCCTCCGTGTAGGG